GAAGGCCTTCGAGTATTTGGTGGATTCAGTACTTTGTAAACAATCTCATCGGCCATCTCAATGTTTTCTGCATTTACCTCTGGATTTATTACGCCTTCGTATGAAGCTTTCCATGCTGAGGTCTTGTAAAAGTCACCCACGAGTGTGTCAAGTGGAATCCCATGTGTGTTTGCAGCGAACATTGCATGACCACAAGGAATCTTGTCCTTGTCATATTGTTTGCATGTGCATCTCTTGTGATCGAGCAGTACATTATGTTTGCCGTTCAACATACCAACTATTTCAAAACTCCAACTGGTTATCATCCCAACTTTGCTGCGCTTAACATTTGTCATCCTTTTCTTCATTTGCTTATCTACCTCGGGTGTCACTAACCCCTGTGTTTCCCCGCTTTCGTCCTACGTGCACTAAACCAGCGGGTAAGCATAGCACGAATGAACTTCAGCAACTCAACAATAGGCGAGCCCCTACCCTTCCACAACGCTCTGTTCAAGCTCTCTGCTATGTTGCTTGTCATTAGATTGTACCGCTCACCTTGAAAATACACACGTGACCAATGAGCAGTTCCAATTTTGTCTAGGTACTTGGCGCATTCAAGATTCTTTTCCCTTATCTGATTGTACTGAGTCCGGAATGAGCCTATGGTATACGCATATCCAGCGTTTGAAACCATCTTCGCCAAACCTTTGTTCTGGAATTTAGCATTCACATTTCTAGCCAAGTGAACGATGCAAGCTGCATGCTTCGCTAGTGGGAATACACTCCTTTTTGCCTTGTAAATAGACTGGTTACGATCTGATATTATTGTCAACGTGTTGCTGTCTGCAATTATCCTCTCCAATTTTTCAAAAAACCACGTCCATGCTTCATCATTCTCGCTATCCACAACTGAGAAAGCCAGCGGAAACACTTGGAAGTTAGCATCTTGCCCACTAGCTGTCAACAAAACTCCTTTATATTTTCCCGTCAGGTGAGTACCATCCACAACTAACACCCTCCTCAGATACCTAAATCCCTTAATTGAAGCACCAAATGACAAAAACATATACAAGAACCTCTCCCTACCACCATCATCAACCTCTGTTTTAATATCTGTAACTGTTCCAGGATTAGCAAGTTTAAGTGCATGGAGATATTCAGCCAGCCTTTCATAAGATTCCTCCTCTGTCCCGAAAACATCATCTTGTGCTCTCTCTCTTGCTCTCCAACATTTACTGTAAGATGCGCATACCTTCAAGTCCTCCAACACCATCTGCTGCAACTCCATAGGTACAGGGCCTTTTGTCCGATCACTATATTTTGATCTATATACAGCTGCTATAACTTTAGATGTCGCCTTCTTAACATATTTGCTTCTTGTTTCAACAGGACAACTGTGTTCCAACGACGCCTTCCGTATCTCATAATAACCACCGTGTTTCAGTTCACACGCCAATATCCTCTAATCGCATCTTTCAGATACACAGTTTAGAACAAAAGAACCCCTACGCGTCCTCGTTTGCCTAAAGTGGAACATGTTTTATATTGCATATATAGCTATAGCAATTTGGCAATCTTCCTTACTCGCAAACACTTTCCCTCTGTAAATCCCTTTATCATCATCATCAATATTAAGATCTGGTATATCATCCCTCTCGTACTGTGTATCGTCAAAAAGAGGTGGAATATCAAATTCCTCATTGTCTATATCCTCAAGTTTTCTTCTCTCTGCCCTGGGATTGGACTCGCGTCCACCAATAGCGTGTCCATCCGTTCTGTATCCACCAGTAGCGTGTCCATCTGTTCTCTGTCCACCAATAACATGTCCACCAGTTTCAGATACATGGATATCCTGTCCACTTAACCCATCACATCCCAGACGTTGTTCTGTGGGGGGGAAGTCACTAACATGGTTTCTTATTTGCACATCCGTCAAAGGCACGGCTAAATTGCTCGAACACATAACTTCTACTGGGTCAGAACGACCAAATTCATCTCCTATGAAATTTCCCCAGAATTCCCGATCATATCCTCTAGGAGAGGAAACCAAATCTTCCACATCTATATCTTCTTCTTCCCCGCCAGAATCTCCCCAATCATCAACCATCTCAAAGCCTCCACTGTCGTTGTTGGCTCCCCTCTTCATGTTCTCCTCTATTTCATCAATTTCCTGTAGTATATCACCGTCGGTTTGAGTTGTTGGAATTTTCGGTAAACAATCACCTTCTCTATCCACAGACCCAGGTTGCGTTGGTTTGGTGTTTAGTCTGCTAAAAGCTGGAGTTGACCCACTTAGGTCAACTTCATCATCAGAAAACAGGCTGGAACCAGATGAAATGCTTGCACCACCGTGTTTACTTCTCTGAACTCCATCTTTCAACCTTGCCCCAGAGCCCGATTCAAATACTCTCTTCCTACAATCCTCAAACTTTACAAACATGTTCAAATGTTTGTTATTGCGGAATAGCTGTTTGAAATACTCAAACCCAGTCTCTATAGTTACCAACACAGGGGGAGTCCTCGCTCCTGTACTGAAATCATTAATGTTTTTTGGGGAAAAACTGAAACTCGCCTTTTTCAAAACTAACCCAAACTCAGACATTGCTGCATCCTCAAGTTCTTGCAAAACCATTTTCTCCCACACCAGCACAGCCCGAGAAACTAAAAACTTGTCAACTTCAAACCTCCATATTCCATACAAATCACAGCACCAATCTCCGCAAAGCACAATACAGTGACCATCGAACCCAACCTACGCCGCGCCCAAAATAAATAAGAATTAGATAACAATAATATGGAATCCACAAGAGTATAAACTTACTGTTATTGAAGCATCTATCCACGAAATACCTTTTCAGACATGTCGGCAGTTTGGGAGCAAAGGCGACGTTTCCCTGCTCATATATCTGTTATCCACCCAAAATAATTTCCTAACCCTACACTAAGCAACGATAGCCACACGATCTAAATATGTTTAGTTAGCTATCCATGGCCCAGATTTAATAAAGAGTAACCAGCTACTTATTATTTCAAGTCGCGCGTCTTTAAGTTACAGGGTAAAATTGTCCAAAAGTGTCGTCTACAGTGTAAAAGTATGTGGCAAACGGTCCTTAAACATAGAAGGGTGTTAACCCGTGAGATGTAACACACAAACGGTGCTACAATACAACATTCTCTTATAAGAATGTGTGTAATTTTGTGAAATTTCATTTAAAAAAAACCAACGAAAACAAAGTTTGAGACTCTAAAACTGTTACAACAAACCAGAGCCTCTAGCTCTGGTGGTAAAGGACCCTCAGCTGAGGTACCCGCCATCACGAGTTTGAGCCCCGGCCACTGCGGATTTCACATACGGGCTGCAGCGTTCCAGAAGCCAACACGTGGAGTGCCCTATGGCCGCCCACGTGGCTAGTCCAAGCGCAAGCTTGGGATACCTGGGTTATCAAAAAACAAAAATTGTTACAACATACTGTAGACTACCATCATAAGTTATTATTAGTGCTCATCAGTTTTGATCAAAATGTAAAGAATTCAAAATTTTGCTTTGATACTAAGAGAAAACTATCGCAAAACCGTAACTGTTTGCGACTAATGTGTAACGAATTGTGTGACTTAGTACCTAAATTAGATACTAACTTGCGACTTACATGCTACGGTTCTTAAAACTTTTCTAATTTTTTTTTTGAAATTTTGCTAAGTGTTCAGCGTGTAATCTCCACCCCCCCTTTTTTATTTTATTTTGTCTCTCTTTTGTTACTAATTTGAGACCCCTCTTAGTTAATAACATTGAAAAAGACTTGAAACGTTTTCTCATTTATCCCGTTTTTCAAAATCGATCTAGGGTTTTTAGAAATCCTCTCAACTTTCTGATATGTGACTATGGTTAGGATCTTATGACAAAGATTTTGGTGTTTTGGTTTACTAGGGTTATTTATAAAATTAGGTTTTGTTAGTTTTACTTTTAACATTAGGTTTGGTTGTTTCTTTTTCACGTTTAGGTTTTGCTTAAGCTGTAATCTTGGCCTATATAAATATAGGTCTTTATGCTAATGAGAAAGGGAGCCCCAATAATTAACCTTAATCTCTAAGAGAGACTAGGTTTAAGAGGGAGTTAAGCTTTTAGAATCTCTCTTATTCCTTAAGCAAAAGTTGGTTCATAACATTTGGTATCAGAGCCAAACGGTTCGATGGGAGAGTTCGATAGGATATTCGATAAGCGGATAACACGATTTGATGAGTTATTCGAGGAGATGAAGAATGAATTGATGGCAGAAGTGAATAAGTACTTTGACCTGATGCGCTCTAAAACTGCAGAGCCACAAGAGAAGACATCACCACAACAAGCCTTGATGGAGATGATGACATCGAAACCAGATCCGGTGTTGGTTGTGGAGACACTGAAGAAAGGGAAAAGAAAAGAAGCTTATGAAAACTCTTCTTCATTAACAGTTTTGATGCTTCAAGAACAACTTCGTCGCAACATGGCTCATCACGAGGCTGAGAATGCACGACGTGATGAGGAGCACCGACAATCGCAAATGCAGTTGCAAAAGCTTTTCCTCTACATGAAAGACAAAGATCCAGAATTTGCATCTTTTCTGGTTTCTTCTCCAACTATACCTGCAACCACTGCTAACACCACACATGCAGCCACCAGACCACCAGCTACTGCACCAGCCATTGCGACAAGTACTGAACCAGCCACTTCATCAGCCACCACACCACCAGTGCCGTGTCAGGTTCTGCACCTGCCACCTCGTTTGGCACCACACGAGCCCCATAACCCCTTTGTCTAACGCTTCCGACTCATAAACATGATATGCTTAGCTTTTGATGTAGTTTTTATGTTAACGTTTGGTGTACTTTTTGTTATGAACAATTAAAATGTTTATTGTATGATTAGGATGATGGTTTTTTTGTTAATATATGATTAGGATGATATTTATCTTAATTATTTGGGTTTTAAATGTTTTAATTCGTAATTTATTTAGATTAGTAATTAAATTAGGTCAATAAAACAAGATTCTTGGATGCCAAAATATCACCAAGTTGCGACCATTTCAATTTGAATATACAACCAAACTAGTTGCACAATGGTTACAATATCAAACTACTTTCCGACTGTATATAATGGGTTTTAAATTAGTCGCAAATTTTAAAACCCATTTGTGACTGTATTGTAACTGAAAGAAGTATTACGTCTGATTATTAAAGGACTGTAAAAGGTCGCTTATTAACAACTACATTATGCAGTCATAAAGTTGTCGTAAATTTGTGACTATTTCAGGACTAATATATTTAGCGACCCTATGTTATAGTCGTTAAGTAGTCGCGAAGTAGGTGTTTGCAACCATTTTATGACATTACTTGGAGTCGCAAATGACGTGTTTTCTTGTATATGTTCACAATCTATTTTTCTTGGGAACTAGTGGTCAAGCCATAGAGAATTTCAAGAAGGAAATGGCTTCCAAGTTTGAGATGAGTGATCTTGGTAAGTTAACTTATTATCTTGGGATTGAGGTATGTCAAAACAAAGATGGTATTACTTTAGGTCAAAATCAGGATGAGTTGAAAATCTTGGAGGAGGCTGCCTTGACGAAGTGTAACCTCGTTCATATACCAATGGAGAGAGATATTGATGCTACAAGTTATAGGAAGAACGTTGGGTGTCTTCGGTACTTACTACACACGAGACAAGATTTATCTTTTTGTGTAGGAGTGTTAAGTTGATACATGCATAGACCTAAGGAGTCTCATGGAGCAGCAATGAATCAGTGCTTAAGGTATCTATGAGGTACTATGACATTTGGTTTAACGTTTAGAAGATCACCTTCACCTTCAAAGGTTTCAAAGTTGATTGACTATAGTGATAGTAGTCATAATGTCGATCAATATAATGGGAGGAGCACAGCGGGTTATATTTTTTATCTTGAAGGAAGTCTGGTGTCTTAGTATACACACAAACAAAATACAATCGTCTTGTGAAGCTCAATTTATGGCAGGTACAGAAGCCGCAAAACAAGCTATTCGTCTCCAAGAATTGCTACGTGAAATTACTAATTTACCATGTGAGAAGGTTATCATTCTTCTTGATAACAAATCGGTGATAGCTCTCTCGCCTATGTATATGCTTACTCCGATCATGAAACACCGGGTTCTTAGAATGAGCAAAAGGCGGATATTTTGACGAAAGCTCTAGGAAGGATCAAGTTCAAGGAAATGAGGGATCTCATTGGAGTAAGAGACATGAAAGAAGGTGACTTTAAGCTTAAGAGGGAGAATGTTGGATTAAGCTTAAACTTAACTTCAAATAGAAGTTATCCTAATCCTAACCGAGACATGGTTAAGGATTAAAAGTGTTTAGGATTTATCTAAACAAGAGTATTTCCTTATAGGATTAGGATTGGCGTTTTATATAAATAGAAATGTCGAGTTATGAAATATGATGTAAGTTTTAAGAGAGAGATTAAGAGCTTAAGTTTTTGAGGAAATTTTCTTAAGCTAATAAAAGTGAGTTATACTTTTGTTGATCTTGAGTCCTTAAAACAACTTTGATATTCTATATTCTCAACAATTGGTATCAGAGCCAGGCTAAAGATAGTGGACTTAAGGAAGTGGTAGTGGATATGGGCTCTATATCTGGTGTGGGAAAAATCTTCAATGTGACATGATAAGAAACGTACCTCGAGATTAGGAGGCCTAAGGTTCGTGGTCTATGGTTTGAGGGGGAGTATTTGAATACAAACCAACGTCCCACATCGGCAGATTAGAAAGAAGGTTTTATAATATACAAGTAAAGTCCAACTTCAATTAGTATGACACTTTTAGGGAAGGAGCCCAATAACAAATCCGTGCGGGATTGAGTAATGAGCCCAAAGCGGACAATATCATACTAATAGAAAGTTGGCTTGGGTTTAAAGATCCCAACATCATCAACATTACCCGTATGAATGCAACCAACGAAACAATGGGATAATCAACCGCTTTTTGCATTTCCACATTCAATAACTTCGATATATTGCTACTCTTCAAACTGTAACGGACGTCGGGAAAATGAGATAGTGTCCAATGCGGTAGCCTTATTCGAAAAGATACGCCGCACACGCTGGTTTATGTTTCTCGATTTTGCCCACCATACACGGAAATCACCTACCGTGTACGCCCTCGCTACCTTGCTAACAACTGTGGCCAAGCCTTCACAGGCGAAATTATGCTTAACGTTTCTGAAAGATGCACGGTACACGATCTTTAGACCAGAATAAATAGATGCATGTCTATCCGACACAAAGACAAGATCCTCTTCATCGGGGAATTTTTTTTTGAAATTCTCGAAAAACCATACCCAACCAGCTGTGTTCTCTCCATCAACTACCCAAAATGCTAATTGATACACTTGTATATTTCCATCTTGTCCACTCACAGCAACTAGGTTCCTTTGTACTTCCCCTTTATGATTGTCCCATCGATTACCATGCCCTTCCTAAGATACTTATAACCAGATACCAAAACGCCAAAAACAAAGAATAGACACTTGAAAAGTACCTTCTTCTTGTTGTCCATTGATTTGTGCATTTCAGTTATTGTCTCTGGATTTGTTGTCTTTAGAAAGTGCAGGTACGTTGCCAGGAATCTGTAGTTTTCCTTAGTTCCCTATGGCGACGACAATAGCTAGCTAGCTCTTTTGCGTTCCATGCCTTCGTATAAGATATTGTCACATTAAACTCTGATAACAGCATCCCTTGTATATCTCATGCTCTTGGTTCTTTCTTACCGTCTTCAAATTTTTTTTTTTTGCAGATCCGCCAACACCTTCGCAGTTGCCTTCTCGCCATACCTTGATCTTGACGCCACATCGCAATTATGTGTTAGCTTCACAGTTTCTATTTCTAAATTCTGAGAGTCGTTATGCGTTGTGGCATAATCAGTATATGATATATGTTGGATACAAAATAATCTATCACTATTTATTTAACTTTCACCGAAAGAGTTATTTTAGCATATTTCTTTTAATTTTATTTCTATTAACATTTAGTTATAAATTACTGAAAGAACTATTATTACCAAATTAATTTAAAATTATAGCAACTAATGTGATAAAACAAGAGTTCAAATCTGGTATATCATTTGTGTTTCATATATGCTACCACAGATCAAACGAGTCACCTTATCGGTAAAGATCAAAATATTATTCACTCATCGCAGGACAAACCTAATGGGATAGACAAGCAAACCTGCCTTAACAGCTGTTTTACAAATGCAACAACTAAATAACTATATATACAATTTACATCTATAATAATTAGCAAGCAAAATATAAAATAAAAACGATTTTTAAAATATAGAAAAAACTTTATAAATCAAAATTTATCCTATGCAAAAAAATGTTATCCCGCGGTGTATTGCGAGTTAAAACCTAGTTATTATATAAAAGGATACGATAAAAGTGGTACAAACAGATCATCTGACTGAGCAAAACGAACAGAGAGCTTAGAGCACCTCTAGTACGAGGTACTCAGACCAACATTATTGGTCGGTTTTAAGGAGTATTTAAGGGAATTAAGCTTTTAAATATAAATCAAAATTCATTATTATTGCTACGTATGTTGGAGAAGATAAATTTGGTGGGTTAAGAGACGCTACGTGGCGCAATCAGATTGGGTAACTTTTTATTTATTATTATGACATTACTTTTTTTCTTTTTTTTGTAAATCAATTATTATGACATTACTATAGCTTCTACGGATTGGGTAAGTTGATATTTATATAATGGAAAATTTTATTTTACTCAGGATTATAAATTATAAATTACCTCATCAATCGTTAATTTTCTTATATTACAAATTATAAATTTATTTAATTTAAAAAAAAAACTAAAAACAAAATAAACACATCTCAAAACAAAAAAAAAACAAAATTAAAACTCTTAAACTCTACTTTTTCAAATTTAATACTAAATTAATGCTAACATACCCTAACTAACATACTCCCTATAATGTTGCTCTCACATGAGCACTCTAATATATATAAAAAAACATAACAAAAATGGAAGAAAGAGAGTGAAGAAGAGTACTTAAAAGAGTGACTTTGGAACCCATTTGAGCACCCCATCAAACACATGTCACAAACTTATTGGCTATATTTTGTTATTATAATTAAATTTTTATTTAATTGTTAAATTATATTAAAATAATTATATTTCTTTGATTTAAGTACTTTTTAAAGTTTTTCATGGCTAGAGATGGTCTTAAGTCTTTTCTCCCACACAACATGATATGAAAAATGTGTAAAATTTACACCCTTATCTGTTACAATAAATACAATATACAAAATTAAAGCAAATTTTTAACATAATTGTTAGTACTCTTTTTGATGTAAATCGATCTTGTTCCTACTCCTAGTTATTTGTAAAAGAATCAAACATATAAGTACCGTTGCTGCATAACAACAAACCAAACGAAGTTGATAAAAATAAATGGAACTAAGGAAAAAAATTGTTTAAAAGTTAAAAACTATATATTTATGAAGGTTAAAAAATGACAACAAAAAGAGCATGTCAGTTATGAAAAGCTCGAGACATTTTTCTTCCAAGTCTGGAACAAATTTTATTATCTCTTAGCGATCCTCATGATTGGTCAATCTCCTGAAGGTGATTGGTGCACCATGCTGAGGATAAAGCAACATGAGAACGGTAGGTGCATGCTGGTAAGTAGGAGCCAAGTGAAAGGTGAAGCGTTGCAACATTACAGCGAGTGTTAATTTAGCTTCAAGTATAGCAAGATTCTGACCAATACACGTCCGGGCTCCGAGGCCGAATGGTATAAAGCCAACGGGGTGTTTGGCAGCCCGCGGCACTCCATCCGCAAACCGAGCTGGATTGAATTCGTTTACATCGTTTCCCCATATAGCTTGGTCATGATGGACCGCTATAATTGGGATTAAAAGCTCCGTACCACAAGGGATTTTGTACCCTCCTAGCTTCACATCCGATTTAGCGCGTCGAATCGTAGCAACAATAGGTGGATACAACCTTAGAGACTCGTTCAAGATCATACTCAACTGCAAAAATTTTAAAAGAGGATAAGGTAAACATCAACATTACTAATCAGCAAATCTTCTTAGTACAATTACCCTTTTGCCCTTGAATCTTGTTTTGGTATACGTAACAATTTAGCCTTATTAAAACTTGTAGATTAGGGGACAAAAAAAAGCCATGATTAACGGTAACGAAAACTGTTGTATGCACCACTTCCGAAATTGAAAGATAATAAAGGCAAAAGACAGAAAGAGAAAGCGCACCGTTTTGAGCTTAACGACATGGTCTTTAGTAGGGACATCACGTGAGCCGCATACCCTGAGGACCTCATCACGTGCTTTGGCCTGCCACTCTGGGTGCATGGATAGCAAGATGGTCGTCCACGTCAGCAGATTAGAAGTTGTCTGTTTCCCGGCAAAGAAGAAGCTTTTACACTCCTCCACAATGTCTTGAACCGTCACATTCTTTGCTTGAATCATTAATCCCAACAAATCCTTACCCGTCGTCGGCGACTCTTTACATTCTTCGCCGTCTCCATCAGCGACAACAACAACGTTCTCTCTCCGCCGCTCTATCAGCTTCAACAACGACTTCCTTATCTCTTTGTCTAACTTCCAAGACTTAAGATTCCCTCTTGTCGGAAAAAATCTATCAAGAAAATCAAGAACTGACAAAATTAATCAACAAGACCGGTACAAAAACATCGAAAAATATCGAAAATTTTGTTTACCTATAGCCAGGAATGAAGACTTTTTGAAAAGCTTCAGCACAAAGAAGCATTTGTTGAGCTTGAAGTCTAAAAATTGCTCTACCATCTTCATAGCTACTACCAAAAGCTGTTCTACTAATAACATCTTCAGTCAAAATCTGAAACCATTCATAGACATCAACTTCAATTTCACCGTCTTCAGATAACTTCTCCGACCATTTATCAAGCAAATCAGTCACACTCTGTAACACCACTGGCACAAGCAACTTAAGATTCTCCATATGAAATGTAGGACTAATGATTCTACGATGATGAGCCCATTTCTCGCCTTTTAGACTAAGTAGTCCATCACCTTCAAGCTGTTTAACCAAAGGGTGAGCTTCGTTCTTCTCATAAAACTCAGACTTGGAGAAGATCTCTCTGATTAGATTTGGATCAGCTACTGTTAACCGAAAAGTTGGACCGAACCAAACCAGAAATGTAGCACCTGAAAATTAAAAACAAAAATATTGGTTGTCAAATTTTTAATTACATGATGACAAAAGAAGCTGTAAGAAAAAAAACATGAACAGATCCTCAACTTGGGAACTTTGACAAAAAAGAGAGTATGGTCACTGCTGGTTGCTATTAATGCACTAATTGCTCTTTCATAATTTACCACATTAGTGCTATTAAATTCACTGCACAGCAACCAAAATTTTCATTTTTTTCGAATTTTGTTTTTGTTAAAATAGACTTCAAAAAAGAAGACAAGAGTTAACAGAGAAGAAGAAAAAAAAAATGATGACTAAGCCCGTGAGGAAAGAGTGGGGAAGAACACAGCCTCCTTTTTCACATCAAAGTACTGACTGACATCATAATTTGATCATGACAAAACAAACACAGATACATAAAAAAACAAAATAAAAGTTGTCTTTAATTTTTGTGTAATAATAAAAACAAAAACTTTTGCTTTGCTTGACATGAAAACACATTTCACAGAGAATCGGACCAAATCACAAAGGTTCCAACTCACAAACCCAAAATTAAGAAGCAAAAATCTTAATAAAGTCTTCAACTTTTAGTAAAGTATAAACAAAGTCTTATAACAAATCAGAAAAAAACAGAGTGTTTTGAATCTGAGAGAAAAAAAACAGAGTAAAACAGAGCAAATAAGAACTAACCATAGATTTTTCGCCAGTGATGGTAAAAAGAGAGAACACGAGGAAGGATATTGTGAGAGAAAGGCATAGGATGAGAAGAAGCTTTAAGCATCATACCAACAAGTTCTTTAACATTTCCAATGAAGAAATGATAAGGAGGACCACGAATCCCTTGTTTAGAGAAATGTTCTTCGATTTTTCTTGGTCTCCACCATAACAAAGACATAACTTTAACTATTACAAGACTAAACAACATTACAGACAGAACAAGAATTAACCAGCTGCTACTGCTGTTGTTGTTGTTGTTGTTGTTACTTTCTTCCTCCATTGTCGGAAAAACAAAGAAAAGAGAAGAGAAAACAAAAAAAAAACAACACAAAAAGGAGAGTTTTTAAAGTTTCTTTCTTTTTTTTTTCTTTGGTCTCGTTTTTCGTTATACAGAGTGCCGGAGAAAGAGGGAATGAGGTGTTAAAAAGGAGATTTTTTTTTTTTTTTAAATTGGATTTATTTCTCTTTTTGTTTCTTTGCGAGTTTGGTTTCTTCTTATCTTGTTTCTTTTTGGACTATTTAACTTGCTGGGCTATTTGAGCTTTTCTAGAGAGAGAGAGAGAGATGAAGAAAGAGAGAGAGGCAAGGCCAACGGCGTAGGGGCCGCCATTGGAGGACAGTGAAGGGTCAACGAATTGAGGTTTTTTTTTATATATAATTATAAATAATTTAAAAAACTGATAATAATGCAATTTTGTTTCATCTTTCATATGATTGTGATACAAGTCTATTTTTTTATTTTAAATAAAAGTTGTCTCTAGTGAGTTTTTAATTTTTATGTTTTCATTCTTGTCGAATTCCACATCATTTATTTATGTAGTAATATTGTATAGCAGATGGCGAAATTTTTATAGTTTTTTGTCCTTTACTTAGTTGTTGGTGCAACTGCTTAAATTAAATGTGTACGACCAGGATGTATATACGTATATATACCTGTATATCCAGAATTTATATAAATTCTGAAATGTAACGTATACGATATAGCCGGTTCGGATAGCATTTGGAACGATATCTATTACATGTTTTAATTTCGAATCTGAAAAAATGTATGAGTTTTGGCTAAAATTTTTTTATTTATTAAAAAAATATATATGATGTATTTAAACCTTTTTATATGGACTTATATTCATGATTTTATCATTTTTGTATTGGTCATGTTTCATTTTATAACAGAGACTGTAACTTGGGCCGGTAGATCTATTTATAAGACCATCCTCATTGGGGGTATTTTAAGAGGTTAAGATACCCCCACTTTTTCAAAGAAAATATGTTATATAAGGATTTTCTTTAGAAAAGTGGGGGTATCTTAGCCTCCTAAGATACCCCCAATGAGGATGCCCTAACGGTTTTGGTAAAATTATTGCTGATGGTTTTTCTAAATGTTTTTTTTTTAAACAGTGGTTGACTTTAGAATTTAGATGAATTAATTGATGTGGAAGGTGTTCTCAATCATTTGATTTATTTGTAGGTTATAATTCTCATATATCTATTATACGTTAGTATAGCATAGTAGAAGTTTTTAAAGATAAATTTCAATAATTTACTTGTTTTATTTGATTTAACTAAATTAATTGATACTGACAAAAAAACTATATTAGTTTGGACAAAAATATGTTAAAGGGTATTTATGGATGGATTTTAAGATTTGTTCTTTTTTTTTTTTGTTTTTTTTGAAAACAATCACGAGTTGGCAACCGGTAACGTGTCAAAAATATGGTATTAATCAACTCTATTATTCGCATAACGAAAATGTTACGTACTCTAAATATATAAGAATTGGTGTATTTTTGGGAATTTATCTTTTATTAATAAATAAATAATTGAATTATATCTTATAGACATTCGTAGTACATACAAAGTAGAAAGTTTTAATACATAATAATTCACAATTAGACATAGAAATATGTTTAGTTTTTTGGTCTTCAGAAAATAGCTTTAAAAACTAAAATAACGTCATTTTTATAACATTTTTTGAAATATATATTAAATTTAGAGGAATTCTTCAAAATACCATCATTTTGGTTTTCTTTCCAAAATACCACTAAAATCAAATTATTGTTCAATGGTATGGAATTTTAAATTTTTGATTTGGGTTGATTATTTGCAATTTAAGGTATAGTATTTAGGGGGTAGGGTTTAATGTTTAGAATTTATAATTTAGTGTTTGAAAATTTTAAATTTAGTTTTAGTCTTGTGGTATTTTTGTCTTAAAAACAAAAATGATGGTATTTTAGAGAATGGCCCTTAAATTTAACGGTTTAATGACATCTTTAAATTTTGTTGGTTTTGGCCGCATTTATATAGATTATGTAGTTTGAAATTACAAGTTAGTTCATCAAAGCAAACGTAAAAAGAAAAACCTAATCTACCAAAAGATTTAAAAAATGGGATTTTGTAGCTGCTAGCAAGAGTTTGAAAATCATATCCAAATTCAAACAGATATCGGGACGCCCAACTAAAACAGAAGGCTAAGTATGCCTAAGTATGAGTTTACTGCTCTTTTCATGAGTAGAGATGAAGGAGACTAATGAAATGTTGTGAACTTGTGGTTTATGGGAAGATAATGGAGATTGGAATTTGAAGACGTAGGAGGAAAATTAAAGAACGTATGCACAATATATGGGGAAAATGTTAAAATCAACACAAACTATTTGTCGGTAGTTTTTTTATGCCCAAAGTACGATACCCAGCAAAAATAGCAACTTAAACTTAATAAAAATTCAAACTTTCAACTTAAACTATATGAAATTAGGCAAAATCAACATATGTTAAACAGTGTTAGTTAACCAATTAAAGGCGAAGAGTCAGCCGACACAATGGTACGGGACATCGGAGTTGAGTAAAACGAGGACGTTTTGTGAGTTCAGGGTTCTCGAATCAAAGATCCGATGAGTATTTACTTTAGCGATTCTTCGATTCGATAACCTTAACTCACAAAAAACTTCAAATTACCCATATATGATGCTCCGTCATTGCTACGGTCTCGGTTGACTCATTGTCGTTAAGTGGTTAACTAACACCATCGGCATATGTTGATTTTGGGTAATTTCATATACTTTAGGTTGAGAATTTGAATTTATAGTGAGTTTAGGTTGCAATTTACCGAGTATCGTAGTATAGGTATAACAAAACCGCAATCAAATAGTCTGGACTGATTTGGGCTATTTTCCACATGTAGGCTTATTACTTTTCAATCATACTATTATTTGGTTAGATTATCCACATTGGTTTGGTGTTTACAACTTCCACCTTTTTATTTTTAACATTCCACATCATAATTCAACACCTACATAATTTTTAAGAAAAAGGATAGCCAGCTAGCTTAATACATGACTACACATCTCAACTATATAAATGTATAGCTAACTACACAAACCATATGTATTGCATGCCCACATTTGTCACCTATATGTTGACATGTGGTTAACATCACGATCATTTTATTCCGGTACCCCGTTCGTCGGAATCCGTTTGCTGACCATCGTTGGCCGATGTTGACCGGTATAGACTAAAAAAATATTCAATTTTTTTTTTGTTTAATTTTTACTTTGAGAAAAAATACAAAATATTATATTTAATCTCTTATGGTATTATATAGTTAAAACACATTTTAATGTATTTATTTTTAGAGAATTTTTGAGAAATACCCTTTTTGGTGTACCCCTTTTTAAAAATACCCCTCTTTTCTATCCATTTTCAAAAATACCCCTTTTCAAATATGAAAAATTATAAACTTTTATATGGTTGATAAGGTACATCAAGATCATCTTTACTATTGCGTGACTAAATCCAAATATTTATAAGGTTTTAAAAGGTTCTAAACGGGATTTATAAGGTATTTAAAAGGTTTACAAAGTTTTTATAAGGTTTTTAAATGATTTTTAAAAGGTTTTAAAATGTATTTATGAAATATATATTTATAAATTTACACACATATAAAGATAATTTGTGTTTATAAATATAAGCTTATACATATTTTTTTGATGAATTTCAAATTTTATAGTGACTTTTTGATAAAATTAGAAAGAGTGGTATTTTTAAAAAGTGTTATTGGAAAAGGGGTATTTTTGAATTCCCCCTTAATTTTATAATTAATTATCTTTTCGATTCCAAAACTAATATAAAAGTAAAAACAAAACATTAATTATTTTTTGAAATATTAAATTTTAAATTAACCAACTATTTATTATCTTATACTCTACAATGGTTTTGTTTATAAACTTACAACACCTTAAATCACTATTTCTATTTCATATTATTCTTTTTATTTATGTTTGTTCCTATTACATATTATTAATTATTGTTAATATCAACTACAATAAAAATAAGTAAAATTTGAATAATTTATAAACTATTTCTCAATAGTTTATAAATTATTTTTATTTTGCAAATAATAAAAATTAGAAATACAAATAGTCATTAATAAAACACATACATTTACAGAAAAAAGTTTTGAGAAATTGATACCAATAACCTTTTTATGATACCCTCTTTTAAAAATACCCTCTTTTTTTACCATTTTCATTTTTGCCCTCTCCTATATTTTAATGGCCATTTTACCCCTATTTGAAAGAATAATCTTTCCCAAAGGAAGGAATATTCCATCCAAAAATTTTCCCCCCAAAAATTTTCCGCTTCCGAAAAATTTTCCCGCCAAAACATTTTCCGAGAAAATTTTCTCGCCAAAAAAAATTCTGCAAAAAATTTCCCGCAAAAAAAAATATTTTTCCAAAATTTTCCCGCCAAATTTTTTTTAAGGGTTTACAAGATTTTTTAAAGGGTCTTTTAAAGGGTTTACAAGGGTTTTTAAAGGGATTTAGAAGAGTTTTAAATGGTTTTTAAAAGATTTGTAATAGTTTTTAAAGGGTTTTAGAAGCCTACAAAGGTTTTTAAATGGTTTTTAAATGATTTACAATGGTTTTTAAAAGTTTTTATAAGTTTATAACAGTTTTAAAAGGATTTACAAGGATTTTTAAAGGAATTAAAAAATTTACAAGGATTTTTAAAAGGATTTACAAGTGTTTTTAAAAGGATTTAAAATTGTATTTAAAGGCATTCAAAGATTTAAAAATAGTTTTAAAGGATTTAGAAGAAGTTTTAAAGGGTTTTAGAAGTTTACAAAGGTTTTTGAAGGGTTTACCAAAGTTTTTAAAGGTATTACAAATTCTTTAAAATGGTTTTTAAGGATTTACAAGGGTTTTTAAAGGGTTTTAGAAGTTTACAAAAGTTTTTATTAAATGATTTATCACGGTTATAAGGGGATTAAAGGGATTTACAAGT